CCCCCCCCCCCCCTCTTGGCGTGAGTCCACTCCGGGTCCCCCCCCCCCTCTTGGTGAGTCCACTCCGGTCCCCCCCCCCCCCCTCTTGGCGTGAGTCCACTCCGGTCCCCCCCCCCCCTCTTGGCGTGAGTCCACTCCGGGTCCCCCCCTCTGGCGTGAGTCCACTCCGGGTCCCCCCCCCCCTCTGGCGTGTGAGTCCACTCCGGGTTCCCCCCCCCCCCCCTCTGGCTGAGTCCACTCCGGGTCCCCCCCCCCCCCCTCTTGGCGTGAGTCCACTCCGGTTCCCCCCCCCCCTCTTGGCGTGAGTCACTCCGGGTCCCCCCCCCCCTCTTGGCGTGAGTCCCACTCCGGGTTCCCCCCCCCCCTCTTGGCGTGAGTTCACTCCGGGTCCCCCCCCCCCCTCTGGCGTGAGTCCACTCCGGTCCCCCCCCCCCTCTTGGCGTGAGTCCACTCCGGGTCCCCCCCCCCCCTCTTGGCGTGAGTCCACTCCGGTCCCCCCCCCATCTTGGCGCGAGTCCACTCCGGGTCCCCCCCCCCCCTCTTGGCGTGATGTCCACTCCGGTCCCCCCCCCCCCCTCTTGCGTGAGTCCACTCCGGGTCCCCCCCCCCCTCTTGGCGTGAGTCCACTCCGGGTCCCCCCCCCCCCTCTTGGCGTGAGTCCACTCGGGTCCCCCCCCCCCCCTCTTGGCGTGAGTCCACTCCGGTCCCCCCCCTCTTGGCGTGAGTCCACTCCGGGTCCCCCCCCCCCCCCCACCTCCCCCCCCCCCCCTCTTGGCGTGAGTCCACTCCGGGTCCCCCCCCCCCCTCTGGCGTGAGTCCACTCCGGGTTCCCCCCCCCCCTCTTGGCGTGAGTCCACTCCGGGTCCCCCCCCCCTCTTGGCGTGAGTCCACTCCGGTTCCCCCCCCCCCCCTCTTGGCGTGAGTCCACTCCGGGTCCCCCCCCCCCTCTTGGCGTGGTCCACCCGGGTCCCCCCCCCTTTGGCGTGAGTCCACTCCGGGTCCCCCCCCCCCCCCTCTTGGCGTGAGTCCACTCCGGTCCCCCCCCCCCCCCTCTTGGCGTGAGTCCACTCCGGGTCCCCCCCCCCCCTCTTGGCGTGAGTCCACTCCGGTCCCCCCCCCCCTCTTGGCGTGAGTCCACTCCGGGTTCCCCCCCCCCCCTCTTGGCGTGAGTCCACTCCGGGTCCCCCCCCCCCCTCTTGGCGTGAGTCCACTCCGGTCCCCCCCCCCCCTCTTGCGTGAGTCCACTCCGGGTCCCCCCCCCCCTCTTGGCGTGAGTCCACTCCGGGTCCCCCCCCCCCTCTTGGCGTGAGTCCACTCCGGGTTCCCCCCCCCCCCCCTCTTGGCGTGAGTCCACTCCGGGTCCCCCCCCCCCCTCTTGGCGTGAGTCCACTCCGGGTTCCCCCCCCCCCCCCTCCTCTTGGCGTGAGTCCACTCCGGGTCCCCCCCCCCCCCTCTTGGCGTGAGTCCACTCCGGGTCCCCCCCCCCCTCTGGCGTGAGTCCACTCCGGGTCCCCCCCCCCCTCTTGGCGTGAGTCCACCGGGTCCCCCCCCCCCTCTTGGCGTGAGTCCACTCCGGGTCCCCCCCCCCCCCCCCTCTTGGCGTGGTCCACTCCGGTCCCCCCCCCCCCCTCTTGGCGTGAGTCCACTCCGGGTCCCCCCCCTCTTGGCGTGAGTCCCACTCCGGGTCCCCCCCCCCCCTCTTGGCGTGAGTCCACTCCGGGTTCCCCCCCCCCCCCCTCTTGGCGTGAGTCCACTCCGGGTCCCCCCCCCCCCTCTTGGCGTGAGTCCACTCCGGTCCCCCCCCCCCCTCTTGGCGTGAGTCCACTCCGGGTTCCCCCCCCCCTCTTGGCGTGAGTCCACTCCGGGTCCCCCCCCCTCTTGGCGTGATACTCCGGGTCCCCCCCCCCCTCTTGGCGTGAGTCCACTCCGGGCCCCCCCCCCCCTCTTGGCGTGAGTCCACTCCGGGTCCCCCCCCCCCCCTCTTGGCGTGAGTCCACTCCGGGTCCCCCCCCCCCCCTCTTGGCGTGAGTCCACTCGGGTCCCCCCCCCCTCTTGGCGTGAGTCCACTCCGGGTCCCCCCCCCCCCTCTTGGCGTGAGTCCACTCCGGGTCCCCCCCCCCCTCTTGGCGTGAGTCCACTCCGGTCCCCCCCCCCCCTCTTGGCGTGAGTCCACTCCGGGTCCCCCCCCCCCCCTCTTGGCGTGAGTCCACTCCGGGTTCCCCCCCCCCCCTCTTGGCGTGAGTCCACTCCGGGTTCCCCCCCCCCCCCCCCCTTGGCGTGAGTCCACTCCGGGTTCCCCCCCCCCCCTCTTGGCGTGAGTCCACTCCGGGTCCCCCCCCCCCCTCTTGGCGTGAGTCCACTCCGGGTTCCCCCCCCCCCTCTTGGCGTGAGTCCCCTCCGGGTCCCCCCCCCCCTCTTGGCGTGAGTCCACTCCGGGTTCCCCCCCCCCCACCCCTCTAGGCGTGAGTCCACTCCGGGTTCCCCCCCCCCCCCTCTAGGCGTGAGTTCCACTCCGGGTTCCCCCCCCCCCTCTTGGCGTGAGTCCACTCCGGGTCCCCCCCCCCCCTCTTGGCGTGAGTCCACTCCGGTTCCCCCCCCCCCCTCTAGGCGTGAGTCACTCTGGGTTCCACCCCCCCCCCCCCCCTCTAGGCGTGAGTCCACTCCGGGTTCCCCCCCCCCCCCCCCTCTTGGCGTGAGTCCACTCCGGGTCCCCCCCCCCCCTCTTGGCGTGAGTCCACTCCGGGTTCCCCCCCCCCCCCTCTAGGCGTGAGTCCACTCCGGGTTCCCCCCCCCCCTCTTGGCGTGAGTCCACTCCGGGTCCCCCCCCCCCTCTTGGCGTGAGTCCACTCCGGGTTCCCCCACCCCCCTCTTGGCGTGAGTCCACTCCGGGTCCCCCCCCCCTCTTGGCGTGAGTCCACTCCGGGTTCCCCCCCCCCCCTCTAGGCGTGAGTCCCTCCGGGTTCCCCCCCCCCCCCCCTCTAGGCGTGAGTCCACTCCGGTCCCCCCCACCCCCTCTTGGCGTGAGTCCACTCCGGGTTCCCCCCCCCCCCCTCTAGGCGTGAGTCCACTCCGGGTTCCCCCCCCACCCCCCTCTTGGCGTGAGTCCACTCCGGGTCTCCCCCCCCCCCCTCTTGGCGTGAGTCCACTCCGGTTCCCCCCCCCCCCCCCCTCTAGGCGTGAGTCCACTCCGGGTCCCCCCCCCCCCCCCTCTAGGCGTGAGTCCACTCCGGGTCCCCCCCCCCCCCCTCTAGGCGTGAGTCCACTCCGGGTCCCCCCCCCTCTTGGCGTGAGTCCACTCCGGGTTCCCCACCCCCCCCCCCCCCCCTAGGCGTGAGTCCACTCCGGGTTCCCCTCCTCTGGCCCCCGCCCCGCGCCCCCAACGCGGGCTCACAAAACTGCGCCGCCTCTGCCGCTGCCGCCGCAGCTCTCTGTGACAACAGCCGCAGTCAGCTGTAGCAGCAGCTCTCTGTGACAGCAGCAGCAGCAGTCAGCTGTAGCAGTCAGCTGTAGCAGCAGCTCTCTGTGACAGCAGCTCTCTGTGACAGCAGCAGCAGTCAGCTGTAGCAGCTCTCTGTGACAGCAGCAGCAGTCAGCTGTAGCAGTCAGCTGTAGCAGCAGCAGCAGTCAGCTGTAGCAGTCAGCTGTAGCAGCTCTCTGTGACAGCAGCAGTCGCCTCGCGATTCCTGGAGGCGCAGAAGCAGCACAGAGCGCAGCACCCAGAGACTCGAGTCGGGGGATACGGGGCAGCCGCACGCACAGAGACAAGATACAGAGACAAGACGCACACAGAGACAGACACAGAGAGAGACAAGATACAGAGACAAGACGCACACACATAGACACAGAGACAGACACAGAGACAAACAAGACGCACACACAGAGACACAAGATACAGAGACAAGGCGCACGCAGACACAAAGAGGCAGCGCGCCATGGATCCGTTCCGCAGGGCAGCCCACGAGGAGATGGATGAGAGGCCCCTCACGATGGACGACGACGAGGAGGACGACGACGAGGGGGAGGAGGACGAGGGGGAGGAGGACGAGGAGGAGAGGCGAAGCGACCTGGCGGGGCCTGCGGTGAGAGGCCCGTATTCTCGGGTACGAGCATCCGCAACAACAACAACACACAGCAACACATACACATACAGCAACACATACACATACAGCGACACATACACACAGCAACACATACACACAGCAACACATACACACAGCAACACATACACATACAGCAACACATACACATACAGCGACACATACACATACAGCGACACATACACACAGCAACACATACACATACAGCAACACATACACATACAGCGACACATACACACAGCAACACATGCACACAGCAACACATACACACACAGCAACACATACACACAGCAACACATACACATACAGCAACACATACACATACAGCAACACATACACATACAGCAACACATACACACAGCAACACATACACATACAGCAACACATACACATACAGCGACACATACACACAGCAACACATGCACACAGCAACACATACACACACAGCAACACATACACACAGCAACACATACACATACAGCAACACATACACATACAGCGACACATAACACAGCAACACATACACACAGCGACACATACACACACAGCGACACATACACACAGCAACACATACACACACAGCAACACATACACATACAGCGACACATACACATACAGCGACACATACACACAGCAACACATACACACAGCAACACATACACACAGCAACACATACACATACAGCGACACATACACACAGCAACACATACACATACAGCGACACATACACATACAGCGACACATACACACAGCAACCCATGCAGAACAACACACACACAGCGACACATACAGAGCGACACAGATCAACACACACAGCAACACAACACACACAGCAACACAACACACATCAACACACAACAACACACAGCAACACAACACACACAGCGACACAGCGACACATACACAGCAACACAACACACCACATCAACCCATGCAGAACAACAAAGACATCCCCGATATAAATATTCTCACCAGACTGTTGGGGCGAGCGCTGTGAGTGAGTAGCACCGATAGACGTAGAGGCCGGCACGGCGCACGAGGGGTGGGTGGGTAGCCGGCACCAACACAACAATAACAACACACACCAACACAATAACAACACACACCAACACAATAACAACACACACATCAACACAACACAATAACAACACACACCAACACAATAACACACACATCAACACATACACCAACATACACCAACACAACAATAACAACACACACCAACACACACCAACACAATAACACACACATCAACACACATCAACACAATAACACACACCAACACACACCAACACAACAATAACAACACACACCAACACAATAACACACACATCAACACACACACCAACACAATAACACAATAACAACACACACATCAACACAATAACAACACACACACCAACGCATTAACAACACACATCAACACAATGACAACACACACACCAACACAATAACACAATAACAACACACACCAACACAACACACATCAACACAATAACAACACACACCAACACACACATCAACACAATAACACAATACCAACACACACACCAACACAATAACACCACACATCAACACAAAAACAACACACAGCACACAAAGACAAGAATCCGCCCGATTGTTGAGACGGGGACTGTTCACGACACAGATCAACAACAACAACACAGACACACAACAACAACAACACAGACACACACACAGATCAACAACAACAACACAGACACAGAGACGACACACACACAGATCAACAACAGACACACACACAGATCAACAACAACAACACAGAAAGACGATACACACACAGATCAACAACACAGACACAGAGACGACACACACACACAGATCAACAACAACACAGACACACACAGATCAACAACAACAACACAGACACATAGACGACACACACACAGATCAACAACACAGACACACACAGATCAACAACAACAACATAGACACACACACAGATAAACAACAACACAGACTCAACAACAACAAGACAGTGCCTGTGTGTCTGTGTGTGTGTGTTTTATTCGTGCCTTGTGTGTCCCCACGGAGGGCCTCACTGAGTCTCGCGACTCTCCTGTCTCACGAGGGGAGGGTCCTGCCCGAGTTCATTGGCGCTGCCGCTGCTGCTGCCGCAGGAGGCGGCGTGGACACTGTGGGGCGTGGGGGGCGGTGTGGACCCGTACAGTAGCAGAGGGACCCGTACAGTAGCAGAGGGACCCTACAGTAGCAGGGGGACCCGTACAGTAGCAGAGGGACCCGTACAGTAGCAGAGGGACCCGTACAGTAGCAGAGGGACCCTACAGTAGCAGGGGGACCCGTACAGTAGCAGAGGGGCCCGTACAGTAGCAGAGGGGCCCGTACAGTAGCAGAGGGGCCCGTACAGTAGCAGAGGGGCCCGTACAGTAGCAGAGGGACCCGTACAGTAGCAGAGGGACCCTACAGTAGCAGGGGGACCCGTACAGTAGCAGAGGGACCCGTACAGTAGCAGAGGGACCCTACAGTAGCAGGGGGACCCGTACAGTAGCAGAGGGGCCCGTACAGTAGCAGAGGGGCCCGTACAGTAGCAGAGGGACCCGTACAGTAGCAGGGGGACCCGTACAGTAGCAGAGGGGCCCGTACAGTAGCAGGGGGACCCGTACAGTAGCAGAGGGACCCTACAGTAGCAGGGGGACCCGTACAGTAGCAGAGGGGCCCGTACAGTAGCAGAGGGACCCGTACAGTAGCAGAGGGACCCTACAGTAGCAGGGGGACCCGTACAGTAGCAGAGGGGCCCGTACAGTAGCAGAGGGGCCCGTACAGTAGCAGAGGGGCCCGTACAGTAGCAGAGGGGCCCGTACAGTAGCAGGGGGACCCGTACAGTAGCAGAGGGACCCTACAGTAGCAGGGGGACCCGTACAGTAGCAGAGGGGCCCGTACAGTAGCAGAGGGGCCCGTACAGTAGCAGAGGGGCCCTACAGTAGCAGAGGGACCCTACAGTAGCAGAGGGACCCGTACAGTAGCAGAGGGACCCGTACAGTAGCAGAGGGGCCCTACAGTAGCAGAGGGACCCTACAGTAGCAGAGGGACCCGTACAGTAGCAGAGGGACCCGTACAGTAGCAGGGGGACCCGTACAGTAGCAGAGGGACCCTACAGTAGCAGAGGGGCCCGTACAGTAGCAGAGGGACCCGTACAGTAGCAGAGGGGCCCGTACAGTAGCAGAGGGACCCTACAGTAGCAGAGGGGCCCGTACAGTAGCAGAGGGACCCGTACAGTAGCAGAGGGGCCCGTACAGTAGCAGAGGGACCCGTACAGTAGCAGAGGGGCCCGTACAGTAGCAGAGGGACCCGTACAGTAGCAGAGGGACCCGTACAGTAGCAGAGGGACCCGTACAGTAGCAGAGGGGCCCGTACAGTAGCAGAGGGACCCGTACAGTAGCAGAGGGACCCGTACAGTAGCAGAGGGGCCCGTACAGTAGCAGGGGGACCCGTACAGTAGCAGGGGGACCCGTACAGTAGCAGAGGGACCCGTACAGTAGCAGGGGGACCCGTACAGTAGCAGGGGGACCCGTACAGTAGCAGGGGGACCCGTACAGTAGCAGGGGGACCCGTACAGTAGCAGGGGGACCCGTACAGTAGCAGAGGGACCCGTACAGTAGCAGGGGGACCCGTACAGTAGCAGGGGGACCCGTACAGTAGCAGGGGGACCCGTACAGTAGCAGGGGGACCCGTACAGTAGCAGAGGGACCCGTACAGTAGCAGGGGGACCCGTACAGTAGCAGGGGGACCCGTACAGTAGCAGGGGGACCCGTACAGTAGCAGGGGGACCCGTACAGTAGCAGAGGGACCCGTACAGTAGCAGAGGGACCCGTACAGTAGCAGAGGGGCCCGTACAGTAGCAGAGGGACCCGTACAGTAGCAGGGGGACCCGTACAGTAGCAGAGGGACCCGTACAGTAGCAGAGGGACCCGGCACGTACCCCCTCGTCACCCAGAGAGGGAGCTGTGTGTGTGGGTCGCGTGTGCCCGGGTCGTGTTCAGCATGGGGGGCTACTTGGGAAGTGAACTTGTTGGGGGGGGGGGGGGTCCCTGATCGGGCTCAAGTGGGGGTCCCAGCAGCAAACCACGCACCCCACAGACAAAGCTCCCCCGTGTAGCCTGTAACAGACTTGGGGCAAGTGCTGTCAGCGAGCAGCACCTATGAAGGCTACCGGCACTGTGGCACACGAGGGGGTGGGTGGCCAGCACCACGCCCGGCGGCCTTTGTCTCCCAGTGGCGATGTTTACACACCGCGCCAGGTACTCGTTTGAGGTCGACCTAGGGGAGGCCCATGACCGGTTCAGATACTCGTCACTGGCGCTGGCCGTGAGTGGGAATCGAACTCGGGTCGCCGGGTTCGTAGAGAGCGGCGCGCTAACCGTTGCACCACCGCTCCCACGGACCCCAAACGCACGGGGACCCTCCTCCTCACATCACCTCGATAATCTCTTACACCACGGGTGCTGAACGCAGGTACAGTGGCCCAACACGTCAAGTGTCCAGCAACAAACAGCACGATTAAAGCTGTAATAGACGAGAGCTGACACGTGTCTTGCATTGAGCGAGGTCTTAGGAACTTGGGAAAGAGACACTGCGGGGGAATTCTAAAGTAGAGCAGTGCAGGGGAAGAGGCAGACAAGCGAGGTGACCTGCAGTGAGTGAGTTGCTGTGACCTGCAGTGTGGTGAGTGAGTGTTGTTGTGACCTGCAGTGTGGTGTGTGGGAGTGTTGTTGTGACCTGCAGTGTGGTGAGTGGGTGAGTTGTTGTGACCTGCAGTGTGGTGAGTGAGTGAGTGTTGTTGTGACCTGCAGTGTGGTGAGTGAGTGTTGTTGTGACCTGCAGTGTGGTGAGGGAGTGAGTGTGTTGTTGTGACCTACAGTGTGGTGAGTGAGTGTGTTGTTGTGACCTGCAGTGTGGTGAGTGGGTGAGAGTGTTGTGACCTGCAGTGTGGTGAGTGGGTGAGTGAGTTGTTGTGACCTGCA